TCATTGTGTCTCTCTCTTTCCTCGTCCTCTCGTTCTCTCATCTCTCTGTTCTTCTCTTCCTCCCATTCTCTCTGCTGTCGTTTAATTTCCTCTTGAGTCTCTTTGTCATTTTCAGCCTCTTTTATTTTTCTCTTCCATTCTTCTCTCTCGTTCTCTTCTTGTTCCTTCATCATTTGTTCCTCTGAATCTCTCTTTTTTATTTCCTCCTCCTGTTTTTTTCTTAACTCTGCCATGCTGTGTTCATGATAATTTTTCATCTTTTCTTGGCTTTGTTTATATTTTTCATCTCTCGTTCTATCATCTTCTTCTTCTCTTTCTTTTAGCTCTTCTTCATACTGTATTCTCTGATCTTCAATCTCTCTCTTCATCTTCTCTATTTTTTGATCATATTCAGCTCTTTGCTGTTTCTCTTCTTCTGATTGTTTCTGATCCTCCGTCTCTCGTTTCTCCTGATCTGATTTTTCTTTCTCCTCAAACTCTCTCCTGAGTCTTTCCTCTTGTTCTCTGAACTTGTTCTTCAGCCTCTGTTTTTCCTCATGTATCTTTTGTTTTTTCTCCTTCAGTCTCTTTTTCATGCTTTCAAATTCCATGTCATATTTGGCTTTTAATTCTTCAACTTGAGTCTGATTTTGTCTTTCATTCTCTTTTATTATTTCCCTTATATGTTCAATGGAGATCGCTGCCTCTTCAAACATCTCATTAGTGAAGTATCGGCCCTGATTCATTTCTTCTATCATATTTAACAGCTGAGTAACTTGTGTCTGATCCTGTGTTTCTGTGTTGTTAAAAGCCAGGAATCTGTTTCCACAATCACTGATCAGTGTCTTGAGTTCAGCATCTTTACTTTTCTCTACATATTGCTCCATTGTTTGTCCTCTCAGATTATCTCCTCTAGTGAAGAGAACAATGCAGAAATCTGCTGCTTTTGAGCCCCATGGTGTCCATGGTGGAGCCAAGGAAGTGTTGAACCAAGGTGGAGCCAATGTGGCCGAGGTGGAGTCTGGGGAGCAGACGAGGGGCTGAAGGGAGACAGTGGATATAAGGCCAAGGAACTGTATGCCTTTGGCAGAGGAAAGAGGCTTAAAACTGGGCAGGATCAGCAGCAATGAAGGAGACTTGGAGCTGAGCAGGACCAGCAGTGAAAAAGGAGACTTCGAGCTGGGTGGGACCAGCACCATCGAAGGACAACTGGAGCTTGGCGTGACCAGTGGTGACAAAGAAGACTTGTAGCTGGGTGTGACCAGCACAGATGAAGAATACTTGGAGCTGGGTGGGACCAGCGGTGACAATGGAGACTTGGAGCTGAGCAGGACCAACTGCAATTAAGGAGTCTTAGAGCTGGGTGGGACCAGCACCAATGAAGGACACTTGTAGCTGGGCAGGTCCAGTGACTATAAAGGAGACTTCGAGCTGGGCAGGACCAGCAACAAAAAAAAAAGAGCCTTGTAGTTGGGCAGGACCAGCACCAACGAAGGTCACTTGGAGCTAGGTGGAACCATCAGTGACAAAGGGGACTTGAAGCTGAGCAGGACCGATGGCAACGAAGGATTCTTGGAGCTGGGTGGGACCGGTAACAACAAAGGAGACTTAGGGCTGGGTGGGACGAGCACCAACGAAGGACACTTGGAGCTGGGCAGGACCAGCAACAATGAGGGAGACTTGTAGTTTGGCAGGACCAGTGACAAAAAAGAGCCTTGTAGATGGGCAGGACCAGCACTGACGAAGAATACTTGGAGCTGGGTGGGACCAGTGGTGACAAAGGGGACTTGGAGCTGAGTAGAACCGATGGTGACGGAGGAGTCTTGGAGCTGGGTGAGACCAGCAACAACAAAGGAGACTTAGGGCTGGGTGGGACGAGCACCAACGAAAGACACTTGGAGCTGGGCAGGACCAGTGAGAACAAACGAGGTTTGGAGCAGGGTGAGGTCAGTGGCAAAGAAGGAGTCTTGGTTCTTGGTGAGACTAGCAGACTTGGTGCTGAATGATAAACATTTGGAACTGTGCTGAACAAGTGATTACTTTGACAACTTAAAACTGGATGGGACCAGCAGTGACCATACTCAGTCTACATTTCAATTTGCACATAATATACCTGTACATACAACTGTCTATTGTTATATACCTGTACATACAATTGTCAATTTGTATATTTTTATTCCTAATTTACTTATATATATAATTTTTTATTTTTTTGTTTGTTTGTTTGTTTGTTTGTTTTTGTTTTTTAATCTGTGTTTTTTTGTTCTGTTACTGTCATTCTGTTACACTGTGGAAGCTTCTGTCACGAAAACAAATTCCTCGTATGTGTAAACATACCTGGCAATAAAGCTCATTCTGATTCTGATTCTGATTCTGATGAAATTAGCTTCTGGCGATTACTCTGGCTCAATTTTCATGGCAGAACAGGTAACAGATGTGGACTAATCAGAAACCATGACAACTAATGAATTACTAGAACGGTAAATGGTTACATCAAAAACTATGACTAGAAACTAAACATGACCATGATAACCTGCTCAACACTGATTTTTTTAAAGAATTTGCAGACTTTCTCTTGTTTTTAGTGCTTACTGTCGACAGAGCTCTGACTGTTGGAGACTGCAACATTCATACAGCCAGTGAAAATGTTTCCTTAAGATCCATATTAATCAATGCCCTCAACTTAGTAGGGATCATTTAAAATATCAATGACTCTACACATTGTCATAATAATAATAAAATAATAATTATTTGTATATATATAGCAGAGACACATAAAATTAGGAAATTATTTAATTAGATTGTTTTTATTTAAATGATTATTGAAGTTATACAGATATTTTTATTCTCTTTTATCATCTCTGCTGCATGCTCTGCTGCTGACTCATTTGTGCAAAGGAGATGGGCTTTTTATTAATAATAAAAATAAATAAATAAATAAAAAATCAACAACAAAAAAAGATCCGCACCAAAGGGGGAAACAAACTTGAGTTCGATTCAATCAAACCAAAAAAGACAGGTGTGAATACACCCTTAGACAACGAACTGGCACAGGACTGCAAACACAAGTAGAATAAATAGGGAGCAAACAAGGAGGGTATTTAGGGACAACAGGTGGGGAAACTAAACCAATAACCAGGTAACATAACAAGGTGGGCGGGTTCAAGACAGTAGACATGAGAGCACAGGGCACATGGAAACAAACAACACAAAAGAATACACAAAACATAACAAGAAAGCATGCAGCAGATAAAAACACGAGCTGCGTGCAACACCACAAGACAATGAGAAAGCATGTGGCTGAACACGAACTGCGTGCTACTCAAAACACAACAACACACATGGACAGAAGAGCGCACAGCCCAAGCGATCTCGAGACTGTGCTCTTCCACAACAAGACAGAACATGGACATGGATGCCGGGATCCGAACAACACGCTCCAACATGAAACACTCAAAGCCGTGCACTCACAAGAAAGACACAAGAAGAATGTCAGGACTCTGTCACAAAACAATGAATACTCTCTTACTGCCTTCAACATCCTCTTTCATTGGATGTTACTCATTCTCTCACAATTTCATTAGCTGTTACTCAATGTCACTCCATTGCGTCTGCACACCTGACAGCTAGACATCTAGATATTAAACAGGTTTTGAGTCTGTCATAGGGTCTGTGACTAGTCGGAGCTGTGGCATGAGACTACAAATATGAAATGTGATGAGCTTGTAGTGTGCGGTCAGCTTAAGTCACTGGTTAAAGTGTTTACAAACAATGGTGGCTACGCTGAAAATATAATCTCACCCAAATGGCATTCGTTGTGAGTCTTGTGACTGCTGATTCTAAATGTGCAATTAGTTATGTATTTCCTCAGCAATATAGCAACTACAAAAACTGTTTAAAAAGCACAGTATAGTGCAATAAAAGCAGGGTGTTGTTTACATAAGAGATAATGCGCGTCTAGCTGTGCATTAAACGATTTTAATGACAGTGATTTTAAAACAGGGATTTTACCTCCTCGTTGTTGAGAAACATATTGTAGTGATCCACTATACAGGCTATTTTATTCATTAATGTTGCAGGGCAGAGTTGACAACAAGCTTCTGTGCTCCTGAATGTTTCTGTATGTGTGCAGCGAGATCTCCAATCTCTCTCTCTGTGTTTGTGTGCGAGTGATGTGTGTGTGTGTGTGTGTGTGTGCGTCAATGAAAGCAGCGCATTAATATAAAACTGTGATTAAACTGGCTTTGAACTACCTGTGCATTAGACGGTTTAATGCATACCTGCCAGTCAATCAGAATCCAGTATGATGGTATAAACCCAAATATTTGATTCTTTGCAAATTAATTTAACTGGTTGTTTTGATTTATTGTTTGTGTACTGACCCTCAGAACTTTCTGTGTAAAGTTCATTAAATATATGTCTTTCTTCTTCTCTTTCTCGTTCCTGTTGTTTCTGTTTCTCCCATTCCTCTCGTTCACTCTTCAGCTCCTCTCTTATCTTTCTCTCTTGTTCTTCTATGTTTTTAATGTCTGTTTTATATTGTTCTTCTCTTTCTATATATTCATCTTCTCTTCTCTTTCTCTCTTTTTCATGATTCTGTCTTTCTTTCTCCATCATCTTCTTCATTCTCTCTCTCTCTTCTTCATGTTTGAACTGAAGATCTTCTCTCTCTCTCAGTCTTCTTTCTCTCTCTCGTTTAAGTTTCTGATAATAGTCATCCATCTAGATATTAAACAGGTTTTGAGTCTGTCATAGGGTCGGAGCTGTGGCATGAGACTACAAATATGAAATGTGATGAGCTTGTAGTGTGCGGTCAGCTTAAGTCACTGGTTAAAGTGTTTACAAACAATGGTGGCTACGCTGAAAATATAATCTCACCCAAATGGCATTCGTTGTGAGTCTTGTGACTGCTGATTCTAAATGTGCAATTAGTTATGTATTTCCTCAACAATATAGCAACTACAAAAACTGTTTAAAAAGCACAGTATAGTGCAATAAAAGCAGGGTGTTGTTTACATAAGAGATAATGCGCGTCTAGCTGTGCATTAAACGATTTTAATGACAGTGATTTTAAAACAGGGATTTTACCTCCTCGTTGTTGAGAAACATATGATAATAGTCATCCCATGTTTCCTGCTCTATCTTTCTCCTTCTGTCCTCCTTTTCTTCTCTTCTTTGTCTTGCTTCTTGTTTCTGTCTCTCCCATTCCTCTCGTTCTCTCTTCATCTCTGCTTTATATTGTTCTTCTCTCTCCCTAAATTCCTCTTCTCTTCTCTTCCTTTCTGTGTCATGATTCTGTCTTTCCTCATCCATCATCATCTTCATTCGCTTTTTCTCTTTTTCATGTTTGTATTGGAGATCTTCTTTCTCTCTTTCCATTCTCTTTCTCTCTTCTTTAAGTCTCTGATTATATTCATCCCACTTTTCCTGTTCTTTCTTTCTCCATTTCTCCTCCTCTTCTTCTCTTCTTTGTCTTTCCTGTTGTTTCTGTGTCTCCCATTCCTCTCGTTCTCTCTTCAGCTCCTCTCGTATCTTTCTCTCTTGTTCCTCTCTCTCTAGAATATCTCTTTTATATTGTTCTTCTCTCTCAATAAATTCATCTTCTCTTCTCTTTCTCTCTTTCTCATGATTCTGTCTTTCTTCCTTGATCTTTATCTTCATCTTCTGTTTCTCTTCTTTATGTTTGTTCATCAGTTCTTCTCTTTCTCTGATCACTTGCTCCACTTTCTCCATCAGTATCTTCATCTGTTGTTCTTGTAATTCTCTTTCCTTCTCTCTGAAGATCTTACATGAGTAGTAACTCTCTCCGTTCGCTTTCACCATGTTGTCTATCTTCTGCAGTAGATCAGTCACCTGTGTTCGGTCTCCAGTCTCTTTATTATTGAACACATGGTATCTGTTTCCACACTCATCAATCAGGTTTTTAAGGGCAGATCCGGGTTCTCCCAGATACTGTTCTATGGTTTTGTCATTCAGATCATCTCCTCTGGTGAAGAGCACCATGGTGAACATTAAAGAGTTTTCTCCAAAATGAATCTAAAGATAGATCAAATAAAAATTCAAAACAATATATTGAATTTCAAGTTAATATTGTCAATTATACATGCCATAGAATATGTATAATTTTTCATATTGTCATATTATTTCTTCCAAACTCTGCATGTAATGTTATTTTTATCTTAAAAATACATGCATATTTTCTGATCATTACCTTGTGACTGAAACCACATGTGAAATGAGTTCCACAGTTTTTCCATTGGTGCCTTTAACAGTGTCTCTGTCGAGAACAAATGCCACTATTTTTATCAACAATATGCTTCAATTTCTGCTTTCACTGTAACTGTTAATGGACAATAGTCATTCATGAAAAAAAAAAAAAAACCTCCTCCATCGCGTCCTGTTTTTGTGCACTCTTTAAGATCAGAATCCTCCTCTTCGTAAGATGGAGCATCACTGTGAAATGCTGGTAGCTTTGAAGCATGTGGGGACAACAGCCTGACTTAGCGAGATGTTGAAAATGTCTGTGAAGACATCAGTGAGTTCCACTGCACAGTCTCTCAGTACATGCCCAGGAATGTTAAATCCTTATTATAATGGAGTAGTTTTATAATAATTTATTATAAAATTAAATACTTAATTTTTTTTAAGCTAATATGTAATTGAAAACGACAATCCTTCCACTGGTTTGCTTTTTTCCTTTTAGCAGTACAATATGTCTTATTTTTGCAGTTTTACATGCCATTGTTTTTTGCAGTTTTACATTGTGAGCTCATGCTGAGGACTGGTTAAATTACATGTATTTTACTTGTATAGATTATAGAGCATGTATTTAAAATGATACTAAAGAAATTATTTCAAAATGAAAGCAATGAATGCCCTGAGGATACAGATATCCTGTAGAGGTAACTTTTTAAGTATTTTTAAAGGTGACGTATCATGAAAATCTGACTTTTCCAGGTTTTAAGTGCTATAATCAGGTCCCCGGTGCATCTAACAAACAAGGAACGTGAAAAAGATGAACCCAGTAACTTTGTTTTGGGAAGCCTTTTTCTGCAAGCGTCTGAGAAAACGAGCGCGTTTGATTTCGCTCCACTAGTGACATTGCAAATGGATCTCATTATAATATTACCGCCCCTTAATCTGTAAGCTTACACCCATGGCGCCGTTATTGTGTTTACGCAAGCGACAACGGTGTAGCAGCTCTAATGCCATGGAGAAAGTTTGAGCAAAGCATGCTAACTGTTCTGTCTTTGGCTGCACAGACGAGCACAGAACACTGTTTAGAGTCCCAGCCTCAGAGACAACAGAGCAGTGCATTTATTGATTTATTTACTGTATATTGCTGCTGCCACACAGATCTAAAATAAACATGCGATTTATTTCCCAGCTGTTTACCTTCACAGACATAACCAACTGTTTTTTATAACTCGTGTGTTTTTAACGTAAACTTGTGTGTGAATGAGAACTTAAGTTTAGTACTCATGCTGTGACAGCCGCTTTCTGTCCGTGTGCTTCGGATGTGTGCTCTCAGAAAACCGTATATCAGAAGTTTAAACTAATATGGTTTAAAACGCATGATTTCAGAGCGATAAACATGATAATCAGAACCAAAACAGATGTAGCAGGTACGAGCTGTAATGGCGCAGCTCTATTCTGGAAAAGGGGGCGGGGAGCAGCAGCTAATTTGCATTTAAAGAGACAGGCCTGAAAAACAGC